GGATATACAGAGAGGAGAGACAGAAAGGAAGATCTTCCGCCCAATGATTCACTCCCCAAGTGAGCACAACGGCCGATGCTATGCCGATCCAAAGCCAGGAGCCTCTTCCGGGTCTCCCACGCGGGTGCAGGGTCCCAAAGCCCTGGGCCGTCCTTGACTGCTTTCCTGGGCCACAGGCAGGGAGCTGGAAGGGAAGTGGGGCTGCCGGGATAGAACCGGCGCCCATATGGGATCCCAGTACATTCAAGACGAGGACTTTAACCACTGTGTTATCACGCTGGGCCCGTGTAATTTTTTTAAAAGAAGTTATTTATTTAAAAGGAAGGAAAAATAACATAGGGGACATGGTGGGAGAGCGAGAGTGAAAGAGGGATCTTCCATTTACTTGTCCAGACTGAAACCAGGAACCGTGTAGAGCTTCCTAGTCTTACTTCTATCTGTGTGTGTGTGTGTATTTTCTGCAACCAACTGCTTCTTAATAGATAGAAATGTGGCCATTATAAATTTAATTACTTTTCAATTATTTATTTTTTAAAGATGGTTTTATTGCATTATTAACCTACCTGCAATTTACACATTTAAAGTGTACCATTCAATGGTTTCTTGTATATTACCAAGTATGTACATGCATCAATACAATTGATTTTAGAATGTTTTAATGACCTCAAAACCCCTATCTTCCTTCCTCTACTACTCTGCCCACCCCACACCCATTTCTCTGTCCAAAGCAACCATTAATTTGTAACTTCTGTGTATAGATTTGTTTGTTCCAGACAATTCATATAAACAAAATCAGAGTTAGTATAATGTTTTCAAACTTTTTTTTGTTATAACAGGTGTAAGCTCTTCATTTCTTTTTAGGGCTACATGATACTCATTCTATTCATTTTGTTCACACAGCCTTTCACCCAGTGCCATTGGAACCATTTGTATATTAGGAGTAATGCAACTATATACATCTGTGCATAGGCTTTTGTGTGGATATATGTTTCAATTTTGGGGAAGTTGTGTGTACATTCAGCCAAATCACTGGGTCATGTGGCCGCTCAGTATGTCATCATTTGAGGAACTCTCAGATGTGGCAACACTACTTTTTATTTTCACCAGAGATGTAGGAGGGTTGCAGTTCCTCCACATCTTTGCTAGTTCTTATAATCTACAGTTTTTAATTGCAACCCTCATAGTAGAGAAAAATGGTGCTTCTTCGTGGTTTTAGTTTGCACTTCCTGATGACTAGAGAGGTTAAAATATTCACCTATGTTTCTTGACCATGTGTGTATCTCTCTTTTAAAAACAGTTTGTTCAAATCTTGCACCCATTTTTAAAACTATTGGATTTTTGTTTTTGTTAAGGGAAGTTTTTATTGTCTTCATGTTTTAAAAAATTCATTTTCATTTTATTTGATATATATAGAGAGACAGGGAGGTGGACCAAAGATGGAGAGAGTCATCTTCCATCCACTGGCTCTCTCCCCAGATGCCCCCACAACATAGCATCTGGAGATCATCCAGGATCCAGGGACCCAGTCTGAGTCTTCCGTGTGGCTAGCAGGGACCAAAGCACCTGCTGTGCCTACATGGTACACATTAGCAGGAAGCTGGGATCAGAAGCCGAGACAGCACTGCAACCAAGAAACTCCAATGTGGGATGCAGGTTTCCCAAGTGGCATCTTAACTGCTATGCCGAATTCTCTCATCCAAAGGGTTTTAATGCTGAAGTGTAGACCTTATCAGATACATATTTTAAAAGCTTTTCTCTCATTCCATAGATGGTTTTTTTTTTCAGTTTCTAGATAGTGCCTTTAAAGCACAATTACATTTTGGGGGGTCAATTCTAGTTGATCTAAGCTTTTCTTCTGTAGCTTATGTTTTCAGTATCATATTTATAAAAATTAGAATTAAATCAAAATTCATGAAGATTTATCTCTGTTTTCTTGGAAGCATTTCATAGGTCAGCTTTTCTCTGTGGGTCTTTCATGCATTTTGAGTTGATGCTTTGCATGTTTGGATTAAGTATAGGTCCAGCTTTATTCCTCTGCAAGTAGATACCCAATTGTTGCAACAGAATATGTTTGAAAGACTGCATTTATTCACTGAGTGCATTTGGCACTGTGATTGATAATCTGTTGCCTGCAGCTGTAGGCATCCACTTATGGATGTGCTATTCCGATCTGTTCGATTGGTCTGTGTGTGTATCCTATGCCAGTACCTTACTGTATGGATTGCTATAGCTTTGTAGTTTTTCTTTTAAGTTTGTTTTTTTCTTTTGGATGTTTTGCATAATTCCATATGAATTTTGCATAAAATTCCATATGAATTTTAGAATCAGTTTTCCATTTTAGCACAGTAACAACAACAAAATGGCCTTTGGGATTTTGATAGGGATTTCATTTAATCTGTGTATTTGGGGGGGAATATATTGCCTTCTCTATAATATTATCTTCCAACCCATAAGCATGGGCTGTCTTTCTGTTTATTTGGGTTTTTTTTTAAAGTTTCAGAAATATTTTATAGCTTTCCATATGTAAATCTTGGATAGGTTGTCTTCAAAGTATTCTATTCTTTTGTTGGCTATTTTAAGTGTAAGTTTATTCTTAGTTTTATTTTTATACAAGTATTGTTAATTGCAAGTACCTAGAAAATAACAACAGATTTTTGTATGTTTGCCTTGTGTCCTACAACCTTGCTGGACAAGTTTATTGCCTATCAAGATCTTTTGATGGATTCTGGAGGATTTTCTATAGACAAGATCACAGCCTCTGGGAATGGAGATGGTTACAACTCCTTTCTTTTCAATATAAGCACCTTTTCTGTCTTTCTGGTTCTGTTTAGACCATCCTGCCCAATAGGTGTCCCAGGAGCAGGTTTCCTTGTACTATTTCTGCTGTTAAGGGAAACCTCCGGCCTTTGGACACTGAGGTTCTGTTCTGGAGGACCCTCCCATCTACTTTTTGCGTCTCGCTGTAGTTAAGCATGCACAGCTCTGTTCTCCCTCCACAAACCCTGAGTGTTCTGCTGTCCCCTTCTGTGCTGTTGAAATTCAGTCTCATCTTGATGTAGTGGCCATCTTGGCACAAAGGCCCACTCTCAGCTATCCAGTGTGATTCATGACTCACTGGGCTGAGGCATGCCCTATCTGACTTTAGGTAAGAGGGCTTACCCTGATAATTTTCAGAAGTATCTGAGTATGTGTAACTAAACTAGCCTTCCCCCAAGAGCACCCCCGCTGCTGTTGTATCCCGGGATGCTGTGTCTGGAGTCCTGCACTGTGTGGTTCCTGAGCCCAAATGGAGCCTCAAGATGTAGACAGCTTGAGAGGTACAGATTCCAGGGTGAAACAAACTGGCCTTTGTCTATCCTCCCCCTCCCCCATTCTCCTTCCAGTGAAAAATGAAAACAGGAAACTGAGAAGTCAGTGGAAAGTTGGGAAAGAGGTGGACTGTTCTCACCACATCTCAAACATCAGGCCAGGAGCATCTGTACTTCATGTGTGCCAAGCCCATTTCCATTCCCCATAGTGGCTCTGTTATCACATTTCACAGAAGGAGAAACTGAGGCCAGGAGACAGTAAATACCTTGATATGGCCACGCGGCTGCTAACGTGAAGTCCACTGGGAAGCCACAGCCTGACTGCGGATCTCTTCCTCGTTCCCGCCACCCTTCCTTCTTCAGGTGTGCTGACTCTGCCTCTCGGCCTGGGGCACCTGTGACTTCTGAGTCGCCCTTGGGTTTGGTGGGCTCTGAGGAATGTTCCTAGTTGGTTAGTTCCCACCATAGTTGGGGGTTTATAGCCCTTTGAGCTCCCCCTTGAGTATTTTCATGAGAAAAATGAATCTAGCTCTGTGAGCAACTATCATCCTAACTCGGAATCCTTGTGGGAATCTTCGCACATCAAGTTGATTTTGATGATTGTGGTTATTTTATGGATGAGAAAATAGAGACCTTGAAGGATCAGGCAGACTCCTCCAAGGCACTGCACTAGCGATGGCAGAGGGAGAATTAGGAGTCCGTTCTTACTTGGTTTACTCTCCACTATACTTTCCCAGGTAAACCATTTAAAGAGCTACTCAAGTCCAAATGCATCTGTTTTCCCTAACCTGCCCCCAAAGACACATCCATCCTGAAAAAAACACAGGCAGAATTAGTCTTGGTTCATTTAGTCTGGTTGGTCTCCTTGTACACAGAAAAATGGAATGTACACTCATAACCAAGCTTTTTCTCAAATTAGGCTGGATGAAGAATATTGTTTTAAGTTCTTTTATTTGATGCCCTATTAAGATTTTTTTAAGATTCCTATTGTTTTATTTTTGCCATCTCTGCTAGGGTTCAGATGTGGGGCAAACACGCACTTCGCATTTGGAGAGAAACCTTTCTTGTGAGCTGCCCTGGCCTCCACATCGAGGTTCTTTCATGAAGCACAAACCAGAGTCGTGCACCTGGATACTTACATCATCATCAAACAGATCCGGCATCTTTAGTGCATAGAGACTGTTGGGTTAGACTCTCAGCAATGCAGGTGCCATTAGTGACACTGTCGGCAGCTGGGTATACACAGTCAGACTTTGCCATGGCTGGGGACAGAGGGCTTTGTGGCTCATAGGTGACAGGGCCTCGGGAGCAGCAGTGGAACAGACTGGGTATGTCGCACGAGTCCAATGTCCCACAGTAGACAGGTAGACTTCCAGAAGCAAGGCAATATTTGCATCCGTGCTAAGATTGATGCTGGTAAACACCAATTACTCACACGCCAGCTCTTTAATGCACATCTCCTGGATTGGTTTTTTAAAAGTCAGACTCTGGTGGTAGAGCCAGGCAGGAGAGTAAAGAATGAAATAATTGCAGGCTGCTGTCTTTTTCTTTCCCACACGAAATTATTTGAAGAGACAGGCCGGAGCTTTGAACAGCAGAGACCAAGGGAAGTTGTAATTTGCATGTCGGCTGTCGTGACTTGAGCATGCTCGCTTAAAGGAGGGTTTTCTTCCCGTTTCTGTCTCTCGGCAGACGTACTTCAATGATAATATCCTTACCCTAATACGGACCCTGGTGACCGGAGGGGCCACGCCGGAGCTGGAGGCTCTGATCGCCGAGGAGAACGCACTTCGAGGGGGCTACAGCACCCCCCAGACACTGGCTAACAGGGACCGTTGCCGCGTGGCCCAGTTAGCTCTACTGGATGGGCCCTTCGCAGACCTGGGGGTGAGTTCACAGCTCTGCTGAGGCCTCCTGAGATCCGTCCTTTGGGGGAGGCTAGAGGCAAGTGAACTTTTTCTCCTTCCGACTGTCAATAACCACAAGAGGCAGCATTGGTGGTTTACTGTGTGTCACACTCGGTGCTTTTTGTGTAGAAAATCATTTCCATCGATGACATACTCTAAGGCAGTTGGAGGCCAGAGAGCCTGAGGCTTGCTCCTAGAGGAATTTGTACCTGCCACCCTGGCTTCAGACCTGTGGGGCTTCATTTCTCCTGGGGTGTCTTCTCCTGTGAAAAGGCAGGCAGCAGGTGGTACCCACAGGTTGTCCAGGTGGGATTCATTTCCAAAGGGCTTTAGTGAAGCTCCCAGCCAAGTCCTTCCCTCCCCAATCCACTATAGACACTAGCATTGTGAATGCCCCGCAGTACCTCTCAGGATTTGAGATTTTTGTCTCTGGGTGTGACCCAGGTGTTGGTGGTTTGCAAAGACATCATTTGCATTCAAGATACCTTGGTTCACATGGCTCAGCTAAGGCCTCTAATTCAAAGCCTGGATCTGGTCATTTCTGAGACAGGCCCCAATCGCTCTCCCACAGACCTCAGTGGTAGAATTGACCAACACCTCTCTTTGGGATCCATGTACTAGCTGGAGATCAGGTACCATGGTCAAAGTCTACAGCTCTGATCCCTGCTCCCAGCTTGAACCACAGAGGTTCTTTCAAGGGAGGGGAGTGGTATGACTTAGGACCTAAGGCTATGTTGCTCCACTGGCAGAACTACCCAGAAAGTGGAAATACAGGCAAGGAACAGATCGTTCTCCATTTTTCTGAAACACTGAGGCTGACCTGCCCCTCCCTTGGTTTGGTTGTGGGCCAGGAACATTGTTAGACTGGACAGGACTTTCCAGAGCTAGTGGCTCTGTGTATCTATCATGTATTAGCACATTTTTATCATTTTACAAGCTTCACATACTTCAAATAATAGTAAATTTAAAGCAAATGTCAGAGGCAGATAGGGAGAGGGTAGAAAGAGATAGGGAGACATAGAGAGAGAGAGAACAAGAATAGAGACAGAGTTCCCATCTGTTGGTTGTCATTGCACTGGCCTGAGCCAGGCCAGTAAAGCTAGGAGCCAGAAATTCAATCCCATTATTTTGACCATCATATGATGCCTCTTAGGATACACATTGGCAGGAAGCTGGTTTGGTAGTGGAGCTGAGACTCAGAGCCAAGCACTCTGGGATGCAATTCTAGTGTCCCAAATGTTGACTTCGCTGCTGCACCCACCAATCACCCGTGGTTTTTCTAATATGAAACCCATTTAAAAACTCCCATGATAGGAGGAAGAATCAGTGTATTCCCCTTCTGTCCAGTGAAGTCATTCTGCATTCTCCTGGAGCCACCTGGCTGCATGAGGCCCATGTTTCCAAGGGAAGGCATCTTTTTCCACTTTACAAATCCAGCTGCAGACCCTGGAAATCTGGTTGTGAGCTGATTAGAACGGTGAATCCCAGCCTTGCCACCTGCCGGCCCCCATCCCCCCACCAGCTCCTAGGGAAACACATTCTCTTCCACTCGTGCCATCTCAGAGGTCTGCAAATTGTGCTTTTCACACAGTCCCTACCTGAAGGCATCTGTCACCCTAGAACCTAGTGGGGGCGTGTTGTTCTTGGAGTGGTTTTCATTATCACTCAGGCCGTTTTGACAGCCTGGGCATGGAGGCTACAGCTGAGCCAGGGCAAAGCCTAATCACCACATTGAGGAGCTGGTCTCCCTCCCTCCTCTAAAGCAAACATCTGAGACTTCTTACACTCAGTAAAGGAGAGGCATAATCTCCTTGGAGCTCTCATCCTGCCGGCAGAAAACGGGTGAGACCCCCAGAGGAAAACAGCATTCTTTAATGAAGCCTGAAGTCCCCCTTGTGGTGTATCTAGGCTGTTAACCACGTTGGGTTCAGTAGCCACAGACTCTGCAGCCCAGGAGACACCAACGCACTCATGCCCTTGGACCTCGACCTTCAGGTAAATGAAAATGGTGTTTCTCTCTGTTCTTTCTCCTTGTCTCCTAGGATGGCGGTTGTTATGGTGATCTGTTTTGCAAAGCTCTGAAAACGTACAATATGCTTTGTTTTGGAATCTACCGGCTGAGAGATGCCCACCTCAGCACCCCCAGCCAGTGTACGAAGAGGTGAGTGTCAGGGCCCACCTAAGTGCAGAGACACAACGGCCCTTTCCTGTCCCTGACTACAAAAGCAATGACGCTGTAGACCCGTGCTTTAGATCTGCTTTAGATCTGACACTGAGCTTCCAAGAGTATGGGAGATATTTCCCTTTATTTACTAAAACCAGAGAGGTAAGGACATGGTGGGAAGAATTCAAGTTCTGCGAAATAGTTCCCTCTTTCAGGTACAAAAAATTTGCATAACGACATCTCTTCCAAACTCCGGCAATCGGGGTAACCTTTATGATGCCTAATGCCGAGCTATTTCCTGTTGTTGGTGCTGAAGATAAATGCTTTTTTGTTTGTTAGAATCCTATATTTTTACCTTGTATAGTTTAATTGGCTCACATTTTTACTTTGATATATTTATTCTTAAGAAAATTGTATATTATCACCCTAAGCAGAAAAATAACAGTTAAGGCATGCTGGTTATATATTTTTTTCTAATATGCATTAAAGTAAATTCATAGCAGGCTGAAATTAAAAGTACATCCTAGAATTACTGAAATCAATGAGTTTGCATAATATACCCCAGGAAATAATGCTATAGAGAAGAGTATTTCCCAGATCTGTTTGCATATTTGAATCACCCGGGGAGCTTTGTAAAAATACTGTGTTTACCCTGAATTAATAGGCTGGTAACAACAACAAAAAAATGTTCAAAAAAGGGTACATCAGGAGATTCGGGGAAAATGGAATTAAAATCTGTTTCTTTTTGGTACAAACAGTGTCTTAAATCCTTGAACATGACTATGTATGCACATTTAAAATGAAATAAATGTACCTGCAGGATGCCCAGGTATGGAAGAGGGTAGACAGAGCTGAGACCACCTGGTGCTTTTCAGAGGGTTCTCACAGCTGAGGGTTCCTGAGAATGCCCTGCAGGTCTTGTTGAAGTAGGAATTGCCACATCTCACCCTCAGAGATGCTGATTCTGGAGGTTTCAGGTGTTGCTGCTTAAGACTTTGCAGTTTCCACCTTGTTGAGTGTCTCCTTGTCTGTGCAGACACTTCTTCGTGTAATACCATTTGTCCAGTTTTTACTCTTATTGCCTGAGCAGCTGGGGTCTTATCCAAGAAACATTTACCTAGGTCAGTACGTGGAAGCTTTTCTGCCCCAGTGCTTTCCTTTACTATAACTCGATGGTGTTGGCTTTCAGGTTCACATCCTTGGCCCATTATGAGTTGATTTTTGTGTAGGGTATAATTTAGGAGCCTTGTCCCAAATTTCTGTATATGGAGATCTGTTTTTTTTCAGCACCATTTGTTGAACATAGCGCTTCCTCTAGGGTGTGATTTTTAGCTTGTTTGTTGGTTGTTAATACATGGATTAATTTCGGTTCTGTTTCATTGGTCTTGATACCTGTTTTGTGCTAGTATCAGACTGTTTTGATGATAATAGCCCTGTAAAATATCTTGAAATCTGGTATTATGAAGCCTCTGGCTTTGTTTTTGTTGTTTAAAATGGCTTCAACTGGATCTTTGTGTATCCATATGGATTTTAAGATCATTTCTTGTAGGTCTGAGAAGAATGCCATGTGTATTTCGCGTGGAATCATATTGACTGTAAATTGCTTGGAGTAGGTAGTATGGACTTGGTGATGATACCAGTTCTTCCAACCCATGAACATGGAAGGATTTTTTCATTTTTTGGTGTCTTCCATTTTTTTTATTGCTGCTTTGTAATTTTCATCATAAAGGTCATTTACATCCTTGATTAAGTTTATCTCAAGTAATTTAAACTTTTTGTAGCTATTGTGAATGGGACTGTTCTTATGAGTTCTTTCTCAGTCAGAGCATTGTTTGTGTTGATTTTGTTGTGTTGACATTGTATCTGCAACTTTGCCAAACGCTTATGAGTTCTGTTAATCTCTTGGTGGAGTATTTCGGTCCCCCTGTATAAAGGACCATGCTATTACACACTGGAACAATTTGATGTCCTCACTTCCCTGTAGCCCTTTGATTTCTTTTTCTTGTCCAATGGCTCTGGCTAGGAGACAACCAACAGAATGGGACAAAATATGTATAGACGATGCATTTGATACAGAATTCATATCCAAAATATATAAGAAACTCAAAAAAAATTCTATAGCATCAAAGCCAACAACCCAGTTAGGACATGAACAGACAATGTTCAAAGATGGAAGCAGAAATAATCGAGAGACACATGAAAGGACACAAACCAACAGGGAAATGAAAGCTATTACCTCAGCCTGGTTAGAAGGGCTATCATCCAGAAATCAAAAAATAACAGTTTATGGTGAAGATGTGGAGATCAAGGTATCCTAATTCACTGATGGAGGGAACGTAAACTGGTACAATCTGTATGGAAGATAGTATTGAGAATCCTCGGAAAATTACAATCTACCATATGACCCAGCTATTCCACCCCTGAGAATTTATCCAAAGGAAATGAAAGCAGCATATGAGAGCATCACCTGTGCTTCCGTGTCTGTAGCATTCAGTTCACAATAGCTAGGATATGGAGTCAACCTAAGTGTACAGCAACTAATGAATGAAGAAAGAAAATTGGCACATACTTCGTGGAATATTAGCTATAAAAAGAATGGTATGTGGCATGGCAACAAAAAGTGAATGTAACTGAACAACATTATGCTAAATGAAATAAGCCAGACCCCAGAGGAAAATATAATCTCCTGTTTGTGGTAATTAATATATGAAGAGAGGACAAGAATTGTGTGGATGTCACGTTGTTTGGTATAAAGTTATAACTGAGCTATAGCATGTAAATAACAATATACTTGTCCTTCACACGTTAAGGATAAGAAATGGAGGGAATAGCGAGGACGGCAGGGGTGCTGTATTCTTCATTTGGATGTTGGTCAAGAAGGTGATCAGATAATCAAAAAACACCTCACTGATCTGTACACCTGGGTGCATTTCTTGATATGTATGCTGTACTTTAATATGTCTTGTTAAGTGCGACCCAGCGAAGCCGACAAGCCTGGTGTCGAGGCTGTTGTAGAAGGAACAGGTCATTGTAAACCCCTGCGTGTGGACCAGAGAATGTCTGACGTCTTCTGGAAGAGCCATACAGCCAGAGCTGACAAACAGGGCAGTGCTTGTATTTTCCCATGAAGCGAAACTCCCACCAAAGTTGCTTAAAAGAAAAAAAATTAAAGATTGTCTGAGGAGACTCTGGGTGTGTGTCTAGGATGGCAAGAAAATTCGAGAATCAAATTACAGTGTAATCCATGAAACCTACTGCATTTGGGATGCTGGGGATTAAAAATGAGCTTGATCTTGTATGAAAAAGTGCACATAGACCACTGGAAGCATGGTTTGTTTCTTCCATCCCCAGCTGTAATTCAGTGCCTTTGCCTAGGCGCATGGCTGGCCTCCTTCTACAGGGTGAGGCTTCATTTAACTTGGAAGAGGATGCTAAGGCATGGGAGCAGCTAGCAGTGCATCTTCCAGATCCGGCAACTGATCTGAGCCACCTGGTTCAGGGAGCGGCAAGTTCTCCACTGGGCTACCATCAGGCTGTGTGACACCTGTCTTTGCTTTCCCTATCTAGGTATGTCATCACCAACCCCCCCTACGAGTTTGAGCTTGTGCCGACGGACCTGATCTTCTGCTTAATGCAGTTTGACCACAACGCCGGCCAGTCCCGGGCCAGCCTGTCCCATTCCTCCCACTCGTCGCAGTCCTCCAGCAAGAAGAGTTCCTCTGTTCACTCCATCCCATCCACAGCAAACCGACAGAACCGACCCAAGTCCAGGGAGTCCCGGGACAAACAGAAGTACGTGCAGGAAGAGCGGCTTTGATATGTGTCTCCACCGCCACCGTGTGTGAAACTGTATCTGCCGCTCATTTTCCCAGTTGGTGTCCCCAACAAAGTCACTTTTCCCTGTTTTTTTCCCCTGTAGTCCCTCCCCCTTTTTTACACATATTTGCATATGTATGATAGTGTGCATGTGATTGTCATTTTTATTTCACCACCATAAAACCCTTGAGCACAATGGCAGATAAGCAGACGGACCAAAAGTTATTTATGATTCTGGGAGAGGGGGAGGAGACCCCCACAGCACGCGCCACACGTCAGTCAGCAGCTCACTGCAGGGAGGCGTTTACAGATGAGAACAGAGCCCTTGCCATCCGTGTGGGTCAGGCAAAGTTAGTTTATCTCTTGGAATTGGAACATCAGGACTATCAGGGTGCTTTGGGTTTTGGCTTTTTTTTTTTTTGTAATTGTTTTCCTTTTTATACACACACACACAGGATTTAGTGCACATTTATTTGAAACAAGCTATCAAAAAGCAGTGAAAGCTATCAATTGTTTCCACTCTCTGGGCTGAGGCATTGTAAAGCATTTCAGAAGCTTCCACGGTTTATATAGATGATTACTTAAGCACCTACTTCTTGCAAGGGAATGTCTGAGGTTTTTGTTTTGTTTTGTTTTGTTGTTGCTGGTTTTTTTTTTTCCAGTTACTCACCAAAGCCTGTGTCCCAGAGTCCTTTGGGAATTCTATGAACATTTCTACCATTTACTATGGAGGGAAGAATAGTATTCCACTCATGGCTCTATCAGATTCTAGGCATTTAGATTAAGTGAAAAGAGATTTGACTGTATATTAAATTGTTATTCTGCCTCCTTATGCTGCCATAAGAATAGCTATTTTTTTCTTTCACTTTTGACATTTGGGATGAAAAGCCATATGTATCATAAATATCAGATGTAAGTCATTAAAAACTGCCTTCCTGGGACTTTTACATCCTTTAAAAGGTGAATTACTTACCTTATGTACAGAATAAATAATGCTCCGGAAAGAGCAAGTATTTTTCCTTGCGGTCTCAGGGGAACTTTTTACTCCCCTTTGTTTGAGTAACAAGTGCAGGCAGGAGCTGAGGGCTGGGGCGATGCTGGAAAGAGAAGCCCAGTAGCAAATTCTGTGTTTCTAGGAGCCCACTTGCTAAATGAACCAGAGTATAGGCAGACCCAGTGTCAGTGGCCTCGGCCAAGACAAAAGCCAGCTACGACTGTACGGAGTGGGCGCATCTGCCTGGTGCTGGCCGTGTCCGAGCAGAAGGCTAGGGGGGAGCACTCCTTGCCCTCTGTTTTCTCACACACAGCCAATTCACTTAGGTGAGTGACCTTGGTGAAGAACTTCCCCCTCATCATTGCGTGCCGAGGGATGAAAAAATGCAAGTGCTAGCCAAACACCTTTTAGGAAAGTTCTACTTTTGTTTTCTTTCTTGCTTTTTTTATTTCCCCCCTTAGTTGGGGAGCATAAGAGCAAAGGCAGAAGAGATGCTTTATCAATGGTTAGAGTAATGAGAGGTTTCTTGCAGGCAGGGCATGCTTTAAGATAGGCAGCAGCTATTAAAAATTGGCCATCTCCACCATAACCAAATTCTTGGGTGGACGGGTAGGCCCTGGACTGGGAGAGGTCGATTCCCAATGACTACCTTATAGAATTCCATTGAGGCCAGGAGAGGGTGAAAGGGTGGAGGCAGTGTCACAGCTGTACCGTCTCAAAAACAAAAGGTGCTTTTATGGTGAATGTTTTGGGTTTAGCTTTTAGAACCCCACCCCCTGGAGCATGACAGTTTGGGAGATTTGCTTGCTGTGTGAATTGACAAGCACTTTTACTGACAAAACAGGGAAGCTCGGTCACAACTTCCACCTTCTTGTAACCAAGACAGGGGCAGTGCAGTATTGAAAGCAGTAGCTGGGTGGGGAATAATTGTATACCTACATATTACAAAGCCCTAGGAGTGAATTTTTTTTCTAATTATTTTTGCCCCTATATATATTGATTTATGTATGATGTATAACTCTTTATATATATAAATATATATATACATATATATATATATACATGCATATGTATATATATAAAACTCTACACATTTCCCCTAGTTTGGGATCATGAAGAGCTCTTTATGCGTTCTTTGCATAGGAGGTCATAAATTTGCGCCCCCAGAACATTTATAAGAATGTGCCAGTTAAAGTGCTCAACAGGAAGTATGACAGTTTAAAAGCGTTGTAAAACTCACATAGCTTACTTCTCTCTCTAAAGTGCAACAAGGATGAATAGGATGGGCCAAGGTATGACAATCAATGGTTCTGCATGACCTAGCCACTGCTGGGGGTTTTCTTCTATAACGTTGTCCTTGTGAAAACTTTTGTGAAATTAAAAAAAAAAGGAGTTACAAATTTTATTCTGTTATTGGTTTGTTTATTTTTATTTATATTGTTCTGTTTGTGGTTTTATTTATTTTGTTTGGCTTTGATTTTTATTTTCCCCTCTCCTATCCCTCTCCTCTTCCCTTCCTTCTTCTCTTCCTTCCTCCACTCTCTAAATTGCTCAGCGCCATGAGGCTGTGCTGCTGCTCTTGCTAGATTCCTTAGAGTTTGTTTTGGTGTTCTTGGGTTTGGGGTTGGGCATTTTGGGGAGGGGGGACTTCTCTCCATTTGGCTTGCCTTTAAATCTGCACGTGGCCTCCCTGCCCACCTTGGTTCCTTGCTCCAAGTCCAAAAGCATTTTCCCATTGAGAAACCCAGCTTCCTTCACTGCCCTACCCCATTGCCACAGCCCGCCCCAGCTCCTACCATCAGTCTGTTCGCATCTCTGTGTGGCTCTCGCCAAGACCCTATCAAGTTCAGGGACGATGCCAGTCAATACTCTTTCCTGGAAAATATTGGCAGATATTCTATTTGACAAACTTGCTCCTCAGTGAATGCTGCATCCTCCTATCCTGTATCTCGGGAGGGATGTTGATACTAAAAGAACTGTTCTCTTGGATATTTGAGCAGTGTGCCACAAAGGCAAAACTGTTCAGCTGTATAGATGGACTCCAGTGTCTAACTCAGCTGGCAGCTGAGTCTTCTACCATACCCACAGCTCTCCTGCCACCTGCCACTCAAGATTTGGCAGAGAGAGAGAAGTAAATTGAAAATGTGTTTCATATTCCATTTGTTAGTAGCCCTGTGATGAGATGATACTGTGATAGGGATAGAATGAGAACAGACTATGACATGAGATGAAACTTTGGGGTGGAGGGTGTTCCTGGACTTAGGGAACAAATGCCAGAGATGGATAATTGAAACTTGACAGTATTTGAGGCATGATTTATTTGATAATGGAAAAGATCTCACTCTTCTATTTCCTTAGCTGAAGCTACTCTTAACACTCTCCTTCATAGAGTGCAGTCTCTGCCATTGTTTGCCAGTTGACCCCAAACTTCCCCTTCTTCTTTCAGGAGAATGTCTATATGTTCACTTGGGAAGGAGGTTTACAAGTTTGCTAGTTTTTTCTCTCTCCTACTTCCTCCCCAACAGAAAAAAAAGGGAAATACATGGGTTGGGATAGAAGATGAGTAAGTTATTTGAAAAGGAAGAAAATACATTTTGAAAGAACTACAGCCAAGGACTCACCTGCCCCATTCTGTATGCAAACCAGCTTGTAGGGCCGCTCAAACCAAGTTGAATGTGAAGTTGGTAGATGAGGAGGCAGGATGGAGCTTTCTTAACCCCAGCACTCATCGTGCAATCCCCCAAGCCCTTCGTAACCGTACCCATCATCCTTCTAAAAATCAGCTCAAATGCATAAGGAGACAGCTGGACCCCTTCTATATTTAAGAGATTTCTTAAAAGTTTGTGGAAGGTACATGTTGTCATCTAATCTTATTTTACCATGAACTTTTTGACATGTCTTCATGTATTTAAATTTCTACCACAATCAAGAGACTTGATGAATTTTGTTCTAAATATTAAAGATTATGTCTGAAGAACTGGCCCACAACAAATGCTCAGTATATGTTTGAAATTAATTAGCCTTTAAACAGCATTTTATACATTCATTCATTCTATAAGTGTTGTCCTCCTGGCTTACCTTAGATAACAAATACAATGAGTGCCTCTGGCTGGCTCACTGTGCTGTCGTGCTGGTGGCACCTTACTGATCCAGGCACACAGCTTCCAAGAAAGCAGACAGCCCTGTAAGCTTTGTGCACAGAGTGAAGAGACTGACTGTGCCCCTTGGCTGAATCGTGAGGATCCCAGATGACCAGAAGAACCTTTTTGACAGGCTGTTCTTCAGCATGGGAAAAGCCGGAAGGCGTGTGCATCCCAATAGAGACAATTAAATCAAGCAGCCAGGTTCCTATAGCAACAGGCTCCTTGAAGGAGAAACTTGAAAGTGCAGGAACTTGGGGGCCTGTAAAAGTCAAGACAGGGTAAAAATCAATTTCTCCATCAGCTTCTTTCAGCGCATGCCTGCTTTGTCATAATATGATAAAGAGTTAGCTATGGGTACCTATCACTGCTGGCTGCCTGCCGCGAGGAGATGACATATTCATTGCAGCCATGGCAGGAGAGCAGGATTATCCCCTGTCACCTGAGAAACGAGAGTGAAGAGGCTGACCCCTTCTGAAGAGTGCTGGCTGGACCATGGAGCAGGGCTTGCAAGGGGCAGTTTGCTCTGCCCAGCCATCAGCAGCTTTAGAAACAAATAAGATCATGGTGGACAATGACAAAGAATTGAGATCATTCTCATAAACAGAAGCTGCTCTGGTAAATAATTTTCGTGCCTGTAGTTGGTCCACAGAGAGGAGAGGAGGCAGAGAGTGTGGGTGCGGTGGGTGATGGTCCTTAAGTGTTTCTGGGCAGTGGAAAGGTATCAGACTGCCTATGAGAGAAATGGAACTGTGAAATTACATATCATTGCCAGCCAAGGCTGGGGATTCCTATTGACCTCATGGTTCTCAACTGCTATCTCTCTTCAAATGGCATCTTTTCCTTTCAAGCCTTTTCTTGTTGATCTTTAACTTTGAGTACAGTGAGCAGAGGGCCAATTATCCTTGATGCCTTGGCTGGATCACTGTATCCCTGTACTGTTCTATTCTCTGGGGAGTAGTGAAAAAGCTAAATCCTCCAGCACTGACAACCTATGGAGCCAGCAGTGGAGCTCTGCCTTCTCAGTGCCTGTCGCCTCCAGGACAGCTGGGCCAGCCCAGGCCTGAGGCCCTTCCTGGATAGAGGCGGCTCTGCTGGGATCTGACCTACAGCCATGTAGCAAAAGGAGGAATTACTGGGCCTTGCTCTGAACCTTGCACCCTCAGAGCTATCACTAGCAATGGCAGGCACAGGTGGCTCCTGGTAGAGTAGGTGCTTAGTGAGCAAAAATCATGATTTGATTGACATGGTAGCCCCAAGGAGGTTAGGAACCTCCTGGAAGTCCCCAGGCATGGGCTTCCCCTTCTTCTCTTTTACCTTGCAAATAAAAAATACCAACCTCATCCTTTTCCATCATCTCTGCCACCACAAGCTACATTCCTTAAACCAACAGCCCTACCCAAACACTGACACTTGCTACTATAGCTCCTCTGCTGAAGGACACCATTTATGGTCACCCTGTTAGTACAGAGACCATCCATACTAGTACTAGCAGTCGACACCCCAGCAATGACCATGGGTCAAACATTTCTCTTATTCATGATCCACACATTTGATGCTTATAACTTCTGTTGGAAAGATGCAGGACCTGAGAGATGCTAAAATCTATGCCATTACCCACTTTACCACAATGCCTGCTAGAATTCATATTCCCAATAGCCTTTCCAACCTACATCTGTTTACCGTGTATGTGATCCTCAGGGGCACCATTTTCATTGATCTGAACAATACTATTAGCATGGTCATATTATTATCCCTGATCAACAGATGAATGACGAAGCTAAGAGAATTGGATAGCTGGCTCAGAGTCTTACAACTAGTATGTAAGAGAGCCAGGTCTAGCTGATGTTGTCTCCCCACCCCACCCCACCGCCCCATGCAGTCTCCTTGGCCTACATCCCTCACTGTGTGTGCAAGGTGGACAGCTCCTGAGAAAGTTCATCTTGAGAGATGGCATCTGCCAATGGTGGTAGCAGTTGTTTTCCAAATATTGCTCTGCAGGGATATTCCAGATACTATATTTATTAGTTCTCTTGCCACACGCTGGGAAATGTCAGTTCTTCCCTAGCACCATTACCTCCTGGCAGGGCACACATTGTGCTCAGAGCCATGGCATTGTGTGTCTCACCACCAAGAAGCTCATTTACAGGTTGGCTATTTTTCTCAAGCAGTGAGGAAGCACTCCCCCACATCAATTGCTCTTTTCAGCTTAGGGATACAAATCTAGCTCCCTCCATCCCCTGGCATGTGGGATGAATCAGGGGATGGAAGTAAACTCAGGGAATTGGAATTGTCCCCTACCATTTCAGCAGTCATTGAAATTCTCTTCCTGAGTCGTCTTCTCATGATCAATTCTGTAAGCCACCCATTGGCATGGTTTATCTTTTAGAAGGCAAGGTGCAATGGGCCAAAATGTTGCCCTACTTGAAACATTCTGTGGAAGCCAAATGACTGGTGATCATGACAAGCCATGTTCCTCTGAAGTCTCTTCATAAAAAAACTTTTGCTACTAGACATTTTAGCATAATGCACATAGCATTCATTACCATTTTTCTCAGCATCCTACCTAAGTCTTCAACACCATGGGTGCCATAGGAAGCACCATACAAAACAGTCGTTTCTCAAACATCATGAAAACCTCAACCCTGAACTGCAAGGTGCTTTCACGCTATGCCCTCCTTGAGTTGAGGCTGCACAGCCAAAACACAAGGGCTGTGCTGCTTAGATTTTTTAATGGAAAATAATTTTGAAAAGAAAGAGAGAAGCTTCGATGGGGAAGCAGTGCTGTTCCTCACAGACAGCAGAAGGAAATTGATATTCTCTCTGCCATGAAAGGTCTCAGGGCCAACTTTGAATTGAACTGTGAAGACTAAATTCTGGACAATTATTCTCTGCAGCAGTTATAAAAATTTCAGCAAATTGCTGCTGTCTTAGGTCTTATGCCCAAACGACCTCCTTGTTTCCATCAGCAAAGTTCCCTCTTCCAACCTGGCAGGTTCAACCTAACACTAAATCCCTTTGCAAAAATCAGTCCATGTAGCAGCAGGTGCCAAAACCATGGGCAGCACAGGGGAACAGAACACAAACACAGGCCTTGACTCTGAAAATCACCTTCGCTATGAGCCTCTGGAGAAAGTCATAGTTTGAAATTGTTTCAGAGGCCTGGCAATGCTTTTAAAACATGATAACCATCACACTTTACTCCTCTCTGAAAGGTTAGTTTAATCGTAGATCACAAAAAATTGGTTTCCACAAATGCATAATGGTTCATCTATGTCACACTTGAACTAAATGGTTTTTTAAATGGAGCTGAAATTATTTTGATGTGTACACAGTCCTGGATTTCTATACAACCTTTTTTACCCAACCCATCAGGAGCCTTTGCCTCCAAAGTCTCATTAATAATTCAGATGTGCTGATGACTTTAAAAGATCTATGGAATTGAAGCTTAGGAAAAAAAAAACCCGTGCTTGACAAAAAGATAAATGAATGTAGAAAGAAGCTGTAGGAGTCTGGCGAGCTGTAGATCATCTCAGAACAGATTGTAACTTTATCATTCTGTCAGGGGGAATAATTTAAAGCACTTAATCAGTTAGCTTCACTGTGAGGATGTAGCATTATGAATTCCTATCGTCCAATCTGTTCAAATCAAAGTGAACTTAATTATAATAGGTGAGAGAGCCAGAGCAGGAAGGGGGCAGGGGGAACGATACCAGAGGTAGCAAGCTTCCCAAGGGGTAAGATGAGCTGCTGAACAAAGGGTTTCACCCAGGCCACGCCTCAATTTCAGTGGCAGCCCTTGTTCACCTTGAGACCACAGGATATTTGGAACAGTGAAAGGATAGACCAAGGAGACATGCATGCAATGCAGAGGAGCTGACCATAGCCCCACAGCAGTGGACACACACACACACACACACACACACACACACACTCAGCCAGGTGAGCAGTTTGCATGAGCAGGTCCACCTAAGTCCAGAAACAGGGTTTTCATGAATTGTGCTGGACAGGCCACTGTCTCAATACTATTTCTCATGTCTTCCCCCTGAGTCACTAAAATGAGGCATATGGTTCCCAAGTTAGAATGTCCAATTTGCCCAGTCCCTTCCTGTCTATGCACATGGCCAATTTCCTCAGAAGATATCAGTTACAGAAAGAGGCAGGATGGGAGCTGAGCTGTCTAAATAACACTACCCTGTGCAGAGGATGCTCGGACCATTACCTTCTGACCTCAGCCCATGAATACCCTGATTCAGTGTTGTCTCTGACCCTTTTCTCTGTTTTTAGAGTGGCAATGAAATGCCAAGTCTTCATCAAACTCCCTTGTCAACAGCTTGGATTATTGTAGTCTGTTAAGATACTACTACTTGAAACTTTTCGTAACTTGATACCAACCCAGGGTTCTTTTCCTTGAAGTAATGGAAAAAAAAATACCTCAAAGTCCTCTTGAAAACATGGTTTACTATTTTGGTTTTCACGCTAGCAAATGCCATGGTTTTACTTTAAGATCTCCAAACAGACTGCAGAAGAATCCGAGGAGAGGTCATAGTTGAGATATTACTTTAAGCCTGGTGGCTCTGAGGGGAGCTGAGTTGTCTGTTCCCAGTATCTGCTACATGCAGCAGCTCCCACCAGCTTCTCAGGCCACTAGCTTGATTCCAGAGAACCCTGCCAGAACTCATCTTACCATCCTTCCTCTTCTCTGAAGTTCACTCATGGTAACTGCAAGCCCCAAAGGCACACTGTGAGAAAGCAGAGGTATGTTTCAGGTTCTGGGTCCTCCCTACACTGTACTGTCTCTCTTAGCACGTACTCACTGTCAGCTTCTCTCAGGTACCTTTGTGCATTTTTCATTGAACTGTCTGAAAGCTTTATCCTAGGACTAACTGAGCTTCTAATTTCTCCTTCTTGTTCTCTGTCCATGTTGCCCTTTAGCAGAAAAGAAATGGTTTACAGATGAGCCGGACAATGCCTATCCCAGAAACATTCAAATCAAGCCCATGAGTACCCACATGGCTAACCAGATCAACCAATATAAATCCACAAGCAGCTTGATTCCACCAATCAGAGAAGTTGAAGATGAATGTTGATTCCCAGGAGACCAGAACTATTTTTTTAAAGCCTGACAAACTTCATAAATGGTGACATGACTTTTCTTCCTCTTACATCCTGAATCACTGGTGGAAATGTTAGGATAAGCAAGAATTGCAAGAAAATAAAGTAGACCTTTCTCGTTGTCGGCCTTGAATATTGCTTCCATGTACTTTGGAAAAGAAAAAGATTTCATTTACAAATGAACATACTAAAATAGTCATGTATAGCCTCTAGTACTTTAAATTATTTTTACTTATTAGAAAGAAGATATATTTTTCTTTTTTCTTTCATTGTCAAATATCTGCCCTATATTAACACAATGCAAACTCACAATGCACCAAGTGGCCAGACTCCTTAAGGCATATTTCTCTTCTTTCTTTTTTGTTGAGGAGGATGATGGTCCCGTTACCAGAGCTAATTGTAAATTAAGTGAAATGGATTATTAAAATAATTTTGAAATGGCCAACAATGCATAATGTATTTTAGTAAATTAAAAAAAAAAAGAACAACAAGAAGACAAAGGGGGCAGGAGAGCACCTGCTTCTTTCCTGGATGGGTGTGTATTTTGATCAATATTGACACCAGCTCTTAATAAATGGAAAACATATTTGTTTTCACAGTTCAAAGTCATGTTTTTTGTAGTTTTAGTTTTCATTCAGCAGTTGGCATTCCTTTGTTCATAAACTTAGAAACCTTTTTGCTGCTGTTCTGTAACTACCAGGTGAGGCTCACCTGGGCAACTAATGATGACAGGAAGGATGTGGGTACACCTGGGATGAGGAAATTGATGACCTGATGTACACATAACATCGTTCTCATGCTGGGGACTCCTGCACGCTGTGATGCTTCTCATTTCATATTTCCAAATTACACAAGCAAGTAATTTCAGCGTTTGAGAGTCAGGTGGACTTTCTCCCCAATTCTCAGAGATTACAGCCTGAAAATTTGTAATCACCAATGAATGGTTTTCTTTAATAATAGGATATGAGAATGCATTCATTCGTCTCACTATGTTTTGTTTGTTAAAAGCCAGAAAATGGCCATAATCAAGGAGACAACTTTAGCCCAGATTTTAATTTGCAGATTTAATTTCATTGCTGGAACAAAATACACAAAGTTTCTACAGCAATTAAAAATATATATAACAAAAAGGAAAGCAACAAATGCACTTCATACAGACTGTTAGAACAGGCCTTTGAAAATTACCAGCAATGAAATCCAATGTATCGGCCACTTTGAATTGTGGCTGAAAGATCACTCTAGCCATCAGAGGCGATTTTGATGTCTCAGAACTCTGCCCTCACTTGCATGCTCAGTATACAGCCGCCCAACAACTGTTTTGTTCCAAATGACTTAGCAAATGATCAATCTTTGCTATGATCATCAGGGTCTCTGGAGAAGCATGAATGTGATCGTGACTTGAATTTTCTTAAAAATGTAAACTGTGGACACTTAAGGAACCAAAGTAACCAAACTACCCCACCAAATCCCATGGTATCTACTCCATTGACTCTTTAGGCCATGACCTTCTGTGGTCCTAGTGAAGGTAGTGCAAATCAGATCAGAGCAAAGCAATGATACCACCGTGAAAAACATGTCCACCAAGTACTCCAATTACCAATGTAGTCAAAATGAGCTTCCACTGCTGTCCGCTCCCTGCAGAGCCGATGTAGCTGTGCTTCCACCTCGTAGGCATTGTCCTGCAGTGACTTGTCAGACTGTGGTTTCTCTGTCGTCACATTTTGTAGACGTAGTTCTATAAAAGTACTGTGAATTTAATGTACGTCTGATTGGATTGTTTAAAAACTACTTATAATTAACCACTAGTCTACTCAGCAGACAAAAATGACATCGATGATCTATATTCAGGCTTATAAACATCTCTTGGTTTCCAACAAAAGTCAGATGTGCTTGTGGTGAGAATTCCCTGCTAGGATTTTGATAACTCTCCTCAAAGTTGGGCCTTCCTATACCAACTGAATTTGCACTGGGGTCACCTTAGTACATTCACCTCAATCCACGCTCTTTTTCATTCATGAACCAGGTTGGGCTCCTTCTGCACTTTCTTTTCCTCATAACTACCTTTAAATTTGCCACAACTGTTTTGTCTCTTCCTGCCAGTGAATGTGACCACCTAAAGGATTGTCCATTAGAAGAACAAAGTGCAGTGTCCCATGTCCCCCACCTTTTTCTCCCCAAAGTGAGGCAGTCCGAAAGTGGTAGTGCAAACTCCATCCTCACATCTCACATCCATATATGGCCAGAGACTTGAATTTAACATTTGTTAAAAAAAATCATGGTAGTTCAGATGCTTTCCCACAGCAAAAAAATTCTTTTATCACTAATGCATGCCAACAACCCAAATTGGCAGAACCCCATTTTCTACTGAGGTAGAGCAACACGTTCATCCTGTTTTCCCAAAATTGATCTGGACCAGACAATAAGATTGGGGATTTTTTTTTAGAAGGTAAATAAAATGATTGATTGACAGTGTCTTTGACAAAAATTGGTGCTTGGTGACATTCAGAGTGTAATGGAAGGAAGGTTTGCATGGACTTCTGAAGGGTCTTTGCGAGGAATGTGAGAGCTCCTTCATCTGTCTTTATGTGTTCAGTCTTTTGACTCCAGGTCCCCTTCCAGCTCTGCTGTGTCATATTCTCTTAGGTCCATGTTGGACCAATGAGGATCTTCTTTAGTACATGTCCCTGGTATAAGGTTCTGATCTCTCCTGCCCATTTAGAGCTCTGGAAAATCCCTATTCCCACCTAATTACTCTTGGCTGCTTTGGGAATCAAAGAATTACCACACTGTTGACAAAGCAGAAAGTGTGTCACTACCACCATCACCTTTCTCATTGGTAACAGTTTTATTTTTGTCAAAGTAATTTATATTTGAGAATATAATTTCTAGCCAATATAAAAACCTTAAATAAAAGTGCTTGAGAGTAGCATTTCTTGAAAAACACTCGAGTTCATGTCTTCCAAGGGTTGTGACATCTTGTGACACGTTTTGGAAATAACTTTAACAAAGTCTTTAAATAGGGAGTTGGAACTATTAGATGAGAGAAAAGGGAGAACAAATCTGGAAATGTGGAGATAGTTTCATATTTTCATGTTGAGGACAGGGCTCAAGTTTTCCACTTCTGGTTTAACATGAGAGTTTAAGAGCCATCTCTACCCAATGCAGTGTCAGCATTGAGGATGCTCTGTACACGCCCAAGCTCTCAGTGGGCTAATTCATAACTGAGGTGACTCATCAAAATGGCTTTTAGAGCTGGAAGGATATGATCTAAAATTAATGTTGAAAACCTGGGTGGCTGCCTCTCCTTGGCTAAGCTTTTGGAGCACATTTTGTCCAGGATTAAAATCATAGTCATTCTTGCTGCATTACCCAAGCAATATGCCTGACCTCAAAGTAACATATAATTGCTCTGGACATGGAGTACTTATCTTTACTCTTGTGCTTTCACTTTTGAGTCTCCTTAGGTCCAAAATGAGGACTTTTCTAAACCAGTATACCCAAATCACACTGATCAGACTTTTTTGTTTCTATCAGTTTTCTTAGAATCATTCCTGCCTGTCCTTTTCCTTGGCTTAAGGTCTATGTTGAGCTGATCTCTTATATCTCACCCCTATAGTTTGAGACTCAAGATGTCAAATTTTCTCCTGTTTTCTTTTGTTTTGTTTCCCCATATGGATGTTGGATTCGGGAAGTATCCAATCTCAATTCTCACATCACTCTATTTATTTGATGGTCTCCATTCATTCGTATATTAATGGTCTCTTTGCTATTTACATTCATACATGTAATTTTAACTTATCATTTTTCATTGTCAGGGAAAATCTGATAGGTAGAGTGATGAAGGAAAAAAACTAAGGAAAGAGAAGAGAAAGGCAAGAAAGGAAAGAGGGATGGAAAAAAGGGGATAATGAAGGAGGAATGGAAGGGAAGGGAAAATAAAAAGGAAAGAGTAAGAAAAAGAAGGGAAGGGGATGGGAAGAAGAGGAATGGAAGAGAAGAAGAGGGAAAGGAAAAGAAGAGAAAGATGGACAAAATGAAGGCTTAATGTATGAAGGAAGAGAGAGAAATCCAACCCGAGCAGGTAGCATATGAGCCACCTTGACTTCTGGGAGTCTAAACAGATCATTCAGCATGGACACTGAGTTTCAGTATAGATTCTGCCCTAGATCCTATCACATCCCTCCTTGCTGCCTATGAAATGACAGCAACATCACAAACCACTTTGGCCCTTGGGTGAGTCTTCGTTCATCAGCGCTTGACTCACCTTTTTCTACAAAGCAAGAGGAACTTAGGATTCACTTACAGCCTTCCTGATAAATTACCTTTCTGCCCTCTCCTAGCTGCCTCATGTTTCCAAAGGGCAGTTTTGCTCCTTCCAGCATAGATGATGTAGTAGCATTCATATTCCTTTGTCGCTTTAGGAAGTAACGAAGCCATTTGGATTTGTTCTGAGCAGTTAGGCTCAGTGTTTGGTGTTCAAAATATACTCATGAGGCCATATTGGTTGATGAATGAATGGTTGTTGGCCATGCAATACCAGTTATTAGTAATTTCTGTTTTCATAAAAATAAGGCCGTTCATAGAGTGCTTTTAATTTTATTTTTCAAGAAAATGCAGAGACTAATGTTCCATTCCTGTGATAGGCTTTCTTAAAAAAAGAAAGAAAATAAAAGAATGTAAAAGGAAAAGAAAGGAAAGAGCAAAGCAGAGCAGCCCTCTTTGGCCATACCATGGTTGGAAGCTCCATGTTGTCACAACCTTCATATTTGAACTGGAGGAATGACAGTTACATGCCAGACCTTCTTCCTCTTTTGCTGTATTTTTTACTTAGGAAAGTAAGCCTGAGAGTCCACCTAAAAAACAAGCTCAATGCCAGTTTTCTACTAATGCAGACCCTAATAGACAGTAATAGTGGCTCAAATAATTGGGTTTCTGCTCAAGTAATTGGGAGACGTGGGTTGAGTTTGTGGTGCCAACTTTGCCTGTGTAGTGTAGGGATTTGGGGAGTGTTTCCATGAATAGGCTCTTTCTCTCTCTTGCTCTTTATCTCTGACTAGGTAGTCTCCAGAGCTTGAGAGTTGATTTGCAAAGCCATAGGCAGTTGCTACAAGCTTTAAGCACAAAGAGATGAACAGTTCCTGTATGTGAACATGGATGGAAGTCCTCATAAGAGTGAACCAAATGATGACAAATGTGTTCTCAATAGTGTGAAGTCTAACAGGTGCATACCCTGAACTAACAGCTCACCATGCACAGCAACCTATTTCCTCATGCACTTTGCTCCCTGTTCCAGGCAGGGATGCAGAGCTTCCTGTAGATGCAGGGTTTTACTCCTCAACTGAATTATAGATTATCCAGTGTGACAATGTAAATTTAAGGGAAGGAATAGATATTCAGATTTTTTAAATGTGCTAATTGTACTACTTTCTGGATCTTTATAATAAAAGCTTGAGGTAGACTGTCAACAAAT